AACATGAAAATTTGAAGAAACGAAAATTTGAAAAATCGAAAGATTAAAAATTGAAAAACGTAAAATTCGAAAAAGTGAAAAAAAAGAAGGAAATATGTATTGTAAAATCTAAATATTGAAAATTAAAGAAATTGAAAAATTGGAAAACTGGAAATCCGAAAACTGCAAAGTTGTAATCGAAAAAAACCACAGAAAATAAAGGAAATGAAAAAACGGACAATTGTGATATAAATCGAGAAAATAAAAATTAAAAATTCGCCACATTGAAAAACAAAATTCGGGAACATGAAAAATTGTGGAAACGAAAAATTGAGAAACTAAAAATTCGAAAAATTGAAGAAACGAAAAACTGAAAAATTGAAAGAAACAGCAAGAAATAAAGCAATTGAAAAATGAAAATTTGTGACATAAAACCGAGAAAATGAAAATTAAAAAAATCAGGAAAATGAAAAATAAAAATCGAGAACTTGAAAAACTGAGGAAACGAAAAATTGAAAATGACAAAAATTAAAAACTGAGAATGTGAAAAATTGAAAAATGAGAAACTGTAATGTCGAAAAATTGCAAAATTAAAAAATTGCAACTCGAAAAATTGAAAAATGTAGAAGTCCAGAGACTGTAAAATTGAAAAATCAAAAATAAAAAACGAAAAAGTATATAATGAAAACTTGAAAAATGTCAAAAGTGAAAATCAAACATGAAAATTTGAAGAAACGAAAATTTGAAAAATCGAAAGATTAAAAATTGAAAAACGTAAAATTCGAAAAAGTGAAAAAAAAGAAGGAAATATGTATTGTAAAATCTAAATATTGAAAATTAAAGAAATTGAAAAATTGGAAAACTGGAAATCCGAAAACTGCAAAGTTGTAATCGAAAAAAACCACAGAAAATAAAGGAAATGAAAAAACGGACAATTGTGATATAAATCGAGAAAATAAAAATTAAAAATTCGCCACACTGAAAAACAAAATTCGGGAACATGAAAAATTGTGGAAACGAAAAATTGAGAAACTAAAAATTCGAAAAATTGAAGAAACGAAAAACTGAAAAATCGAAAGAAACAACAAGAAATAAAGCAATTGAAAAATGAAAATTTGTGACATAAAACCGAGAAAATTAAAATTAAAAAAATCAGGAAAATGAAAAATAAAAATCGAGAACTTGAAAAACTGAGGAAACGAAAAATTGAAAATGACAAAAATTAAAAACTGAGAATGTGAAAAATTGAAAAATGAGAAACTGTAATGTCGAAAAATTGCAAAATTAAAAAATTGCAACTCGAAAAATTGAAAAATGTAGAAGTCCAGAGACTGTAAAATTGAAAAATCAAAAATAAAAAACGAAAAAGTATATAATGAAAACTTGAAAAATGTCAAAAGTGAAAATCAAACATGAAAATTTGAAGAAACGAAAATTTGAAAAATCGAAAGATTAAAAATTGAAAAACGTAAAATTCGAAAAAGTGAAAAAAAAGAAGGAAATATGTATTGTAAAATCTAAATATTGAAAATTAAAGAAATTGAAAAATTGGAAAACTGGAAATCCGAAAACTGCAAAGTTGTAATCGAAAAAAACCACAGAAAATAAAGGAAATGAAAAAACGGACAATTGTGATATAAATCGAGAAAATAAAAATTAAAAATTCGCCACATTGAAAAACAAAATTCGGGAACATGAAAAATTGTGGAAACGAAAAATTGAGAAACTAAAAATTCGAAAAATTGAAGAAACGAAAAACTGAAAAATCGAAAGAAACAACAAGAAATAAAGCAATTGAAAAATGAAAATTTGTGACATAAAACCGAGAAAATTAAAATTAAAAAAATCAGGAAAATGAAAAATAAAAATCGAGAACTTGAAAAACTGAGGAAACGAAAAATTGAAAATGACAAAAATTAAAAACTGAGAATGTGAAAAATTGAAAAATGAGAAACTGTAATGTCGAAAAATTGCAAAATTAAAAAATTGCAACTCGAAAAATTGAAAAATGTAGAAGTCCAGAGACTGTAAAATTGAAAAATCAAAAATAAAAAACGAAAAAGTATATAATGAAAACTTGAAAAATGTGAAAAGTGAAAATCAAACATGAAAATTTGAAGAAACGAAATTTTCAAAAATCGAAAGATTAAAAATTGAAAAACTTAAAATTCGAAAAAGTGAAAAATAAAAAAAAAGAAATATGTATTGTAAAATCTAAATATTGAAAATTATCAGAAATTGAAAAATTGGAAGGCTGGAAATCCAAAAACTGCAAAGTTGTAATCGAAAAAAAAACACACAAAATAAAGGCAATGAAAAAACGGACAATTGTGATATAAATCTAGAAAATAAAAATTAAAAATTCGCCATATTGAAAAATAAAAATCGGAAACATGAAAAATTGCGGAAACGAAAAATTGAGAAACTGAAAATTTGAAAAATTGAAGAAACCGAAAACTGAAAAATCGAAAGAAACAACAAGAAATAAAGGAATTGAAAAATGAAAATTTGTGACATAAAACCGAGAAAATGAAAATTAAAAAAATCAGGAAAAAGGAAACATAAAAATCGAGAACTTGAAAAACTGAGGAAACGAAACCTTGAAAATGACAAAAATTAAAAACTGAGAATGCGAAAAATTGAAAAATGAGAAACTGTAATATCGAAAAATTGCAAAATTAAAAAATTGCAGCTCGAAAAATTGAAAAATGTAGAAGTCAAGAAACTGTAAAATTGAAAAATCAAAAATAAAAAAACGAAAAAGTATATAATGAAAACTTGAAAAATGTCAAAAGTGAAAATCAAACATGAAAATTTGAAGAAACGAAAATTTGAAAAATCGGAAGATTAAAAATTGAAAAACTTAAAATTCGAAAAAGTGAAAAATAAAAAAAAGAAATATGTATTGTAAAATGTAAATATTGAAAATTAAAGAAATTGAAAAATTTTAAGACTGGAAATCCAAAAACTGCAAAGTTGTAATCGAAAAAAAAAACACAGAAAAATTGAGAAACTGAAAATTTGAAAAATTGAAGAAATCGAAAACTGAAAAATCGAAAGAAACAACAAAAAATAAAGGAATTGAAAAATGAAAATTTGTGACATAAAACCGAAAAATTGAAAATTCAAAAAATCAGGAAAAAGGAAAAATAAAAATCGAAAACTTGAAAAACTGAGGAAACGAAAAATTGAAAATGACAAAATTGATCGAAAAAAGTCCTCTAGTAGGCCTTGAAATGTATTTTTAAAATAATAATGTTGGCATTGCAACTATTTGCCACTTTTTGCAATTATTTGACCGCAAAGTCACTGAATTAGTAGTAAGTAATTCTAGAACTCTGATTAGCCGTAACTGTCAAACTTCACAAGAAGAGTGTTGATGTTGCCAACATCATCCTAACTGGGATCTTTTAAATTTTTGTGTAGTTTTCTTTGATTATTTGTTAATAATAATAATATTTTAACAATACATTATTCGTATAAATATAAAAAAAAAGTGTAGAGTTAATTTTTCCTTGGAAACACTTTAACTGCATATTATAATTTACCAAACAGAGTTACCAACCGAAACTACGATATTGTAGCCAAATTTAAATCCCTTTCTTTTCGACACAATATCATAAAATAGTGTATACAGTTCTGTTTTTGTTTTAATCGCATTTACTTCTGTACAAAAGTACATGAACAATGTTATCAATTGTGTAATAATATGTAATCATCAGTTTCATTGCTGGTTTCTTTGCGCCTTTATTCGTCGTTACATTTATTGTACCAAAACTGTAATTTGTGTGATTGCCTATTATTATTACTTGGTATTTACTACTTCTTTATATTTTCCGAGAGTAAGCTAAGGAAGTATTGTAATAGGGTCCATCCCACGAATGGCTACTTTTTGTTCTGAGTTTATGGTTTCTTGGAAAAATGCGTTTGTGTCATTGCAAAATCTAGTCTTTAACAATCAATCAATTTCAAATCAGATTCTAAATCCACGTAGACATCGTAAAATAACCGGAGCATTTTTATGTCACGCCGCCATAGTCCGATTTCATAAATAAATGATTAGGACTTCTAAGTAATTTACAAATATCGCTGTCCTGATTTTTACGGCTTCACAGATCATAAACCAAAGTAATAGCTCCAACAAATCAAGCAAATACACAAAAACGATCGGGAATGCATTCCCCATAATTATTTTCGACTAGTAAATCACGATATCCGTCACCTTTCCGGCAAGATAAAATCCATGTCAGTGTTAATGACACACATTTCCAGTACATTATTGACAAATCTTTCCACCGTCATATTTTATTCACTGTATTAATATATTCAGTCGCTTCTTTACCTTCTTTTATCATATCGATCGGCGGCCGAGTCCAAGATACATATTAAGTGTTAAATCTTTGATTTGTTTTGATGTAGTTTTAGTGGAAAGATGACTTCTTGTATTATTTATCACAGGCCACAATTATGCACACGATGTCACCGAAAATGGCGCAGCACAAGAACAATTTTTATATTATTATAATTGTAACAACGCTGTTTAATTATTTAAAATAATCAATACGAGTTATTATACGGAAAACAAGCAAAGGTGGGTAAATATATGACATTTTTTATCATCAAAGATCGATACTTTTTGTCGGTAAAGCGTTGTCATTACTTAGAGGTCAAACAAACGACATTATAATTGATTGTGGAGTTCAGTGTGGCGTGTTCAGAATTTTGTTTATTTGTCCATGGACACACTTATTAACCAGTTTTGTTTAATACTTGTTTAAGATCATTTTTAAACGATAACTTATGCGTTCATTGAGACCAGCAGTCCCCGGATGGAAAAATCGTGACACGATTGCGTGCCCGGAGCGAACCGGAGCTTCGAATTACCGGAAGTCCTAAACAACGAGTCTAAACGCCGGCGGATTTTCCTTATTACGTGCCGCTTTCCATAAAGCCAGCGAGCTTTCGCTTAAGTGTGTGCTTGCGATTTATTCTTTTTTTAAATGGAAAATTAGGCGACTTACCGATATCAGCATGTTGCTCTGGTCGAAGTAGTCGGCCACGGGCATGACGTTTTTGTAAAAATTGTTCAGTTCCATTCTGGCCAGTGATAAGACAACTTGACCTAATTTGGCACCATAGTCGATTTGTCGCTCTAGGACTTTTTGTCGCCACGAGATCATGATGGCTCCGCTCAGCATTTGAATCTGAAAAAGTGGAGTTTGTGCAGCTGTGGGAATTAATGTTGCTATAAATATTAGAATAGTGGTGCACTTAGAGTTGCATGTAATTGAATGGTGGATAATGCTATAATATCCCCTTGATCGCTTCATTATTTATGGAAGTGCAGGTGGAGTGGAATGCACGTGTTTGAGTTATTAAGTTATTATTGAGCTCGTCGATAAAGAAGCTACACGCTGAAAGTTTCTTTGTAACGTAATTAAAAAGAGGCCAAGTTGGTTTATACATAAAGAGTTGGCTATTTTCCGAAAATAAGGACTCAAATAATATTCGAAACAACTTTGTTTCTTAATTTGATTCAATATTAAAACATACAATATTCCCGAAGTAATAAAATTTTCATTTTGAAAATAAATGTAGATTTTGAGACACGTGTTTCGTTAGGTAGGCAACCAATAATTCAGCTTTTTGTATACTTTGTAAATACAAGATTTAAACTTCTGGGTTTTGTTTCATTATGTGAATATTAAATCAACTATCAACTGATGATAAAACCTATTTGGATATTTAGGGCTTGAAAATGGATCTTGTGCAAGACATAATTATCTGTTTCGTTTAATATTTTAAGGCTCTTAGATTTTCCCTAACAATTTTAAGGCTTCGTATATAGAAGATGTCGATTTTTTTAGAAAGGAAATGTGTTTTTGCAATAATTTCCTTAAAGATCAAAATACTTTATAAATTTTAGATTTTTACTTTTATTTTTTCAAAAAATATAGTGGTTCTTTGTGGGGGTCAATTTAATTTTCCTCCATATTGTAACACATTTCTATATTTTATTAAAAGCAAGGCCCGATGATTTGACACATATGTGAATTTGAGTTTAAAATAATTCAATAAGATTTGTTTTGCTTTTGAATTAATCATTGTAGCGATGCAAATGTTAATTTAAAACACTTGTTAGAAATTCATTTATTCAGGCTTAAATACGAAGAACTTTGTATGAATTTTTAAATGTTTTTAGTGACAATTTTGTGATAAAAATTAAAATAATGGAAAATTTGAAAAATCGAGAACTCGAAAAACCAAGATGTCAAGAGATCGAAACATCAAAAAATCGAAAAAATGAAACATGGGATAATTGAAAATCGAAACATCGAAAAACTGGAAAATCGAAAAATCAAGAAACCGAAATAGGTCAAAATCGAAAAGTTCAAAATAAAAAAAAATGATAAATCGAGAAATTGAATATTCAAAACATCCAAATCTCTATAACTCGAGAAATCAAAAAATTTAAAAATTTGAAAAAATGAAACATTGAGAAATCGATGTCATGAAATCGAAAAATTGAGAAACCGAAATAGTCTAAAATCGAAAAAACGAAAAGTTAAAAGTTTAAAAATTGGAAAATTGAAAAATCTAAAAGCGAAAAAATAAAAAAAACGGAAAAATGGAACAACTGAGAAACCGAAATAGGCTAAAATAAAAAATCGAAAAGTTATAAATTGAAAAACTCATAAATCGAGAAACTGAACGATTAAAATATCGAAACATCCAAATCTCCATGGATCGGGAAATCAAAACATTGAAAAATCGAAAAATTTTAAAAACGAAAAATCAAAAAATCGAAAAATAATCTAAAATTTTCAACTGAAGAATGGAAAAACTGAAATGTCGAAAAACTGAGAATCTAAGAAATTGAAAATCTGAGAAATAGAAAAATCAAAACAATGAAGTCAAAAACTCGAAAAAATGAAGTCGAAAACTCGAAACCTTAAAAAATGGAAAAATTGAAAATTCAAAAACTTGAAAAATCGAAAAACTGAGGAATTGAAGAACTGGAAAATCGAAACAGTCGAAAGTCAAGAAATGGGAATTTCTTAATTGAAAAATCGAAAAATTGAGAATTTAGAAAAGTCAAAAATTGAAATATCGAAATTTTTAAGAATCGTAAAATTGTAGAGAGAAATTGAATAACAAATAATTGAAAAATCCCTAAACTGAAATTCCTAAAAATTGAAAAATGAAAGAAAAACTGAAGAATGGAAAAACTAAAACATCTCAAAATTGAAATTAAAAATTGAAAAGTTGAGAAATCGAAGAGTCAAAAATGTGAAGTCGAAAAATCAAAATCTTAAAAAACTGAAAAATCAAAAACGTAAAAAATTTAAAATTTAAAAATAATTGAAGAAATGCAAAATCGAAAAACTGAGAGTTTATCAAAGTCAAATTTGCGAAATTACAAAGACCAAATATTTTAAAATTGTAAAATTGAAGAGGAGAAAATTAGAAAAACGTAAAATTGAAAAATTGAGAAATTGAAAAATGAAAGAAAAACTGAAAAATCCCAAAAAATTGAACTGAAAAAGAATTGAAGAACTGGAAAATTGGACCAGTCGAAAGTCAAAAAATGGAAAAATCTAAACATCGATTAATTGAAAAATCGAAAAATTGAGAATTTAGAAAAGTCAAAAATTGAAAAATCGAAATATTTAAAAATCCTAAAATTGAAGAGAAAAATTGAATAACAAATAATCTGGAAAATCCCAAAACTGAAATTTCGAAAAATTGAAAAATGAAAAAAACTGAAGAATGGAAAAACTGAAAAATTTCAAATCTGAATTATCCAAAAACTGAGAATTAAAAAAATTGAGGATTGAAAAACCTGAAAAATCGGAAAATTGAAAAATTGAAGAACTGGAAAATCGAAACAGTCGAAAGTCAAGAAATGGGAATTTCTTAATTGAAAAAACGAAAAATTGAGAATTTAGAAAAGTCCAAAATTGAAAAATCGAAATTTTTAAGAATCGTAAAATTGTAGAGAAAAGTTAAATAACAAATAATTGAAAGATCCCTAAACTGAAATTTCTAAAAATTGAAAAATGAAAGAAAAACTGATGAATGGAAAAACTGAAACATCTCAAAATTGAAATTAAAAATTGAGAAGTTGAGAAATCAAAGAGTCAAAAATGTGAAGTCGAAAAATCAAAATCTTAAAAAACTGAAAAATGAAAAACGTAAAAAATTTAAAATTTAAAAATAATTGAAGTAATGCAAAATCGAAAAACTGAGAGTTTATCAAAGTCAAATTTGCGAAATTACAAAGACCAAATATTTAAAAATCGTAAAATTGAAGAGGAGAAAAATTAGAAAAACGTAAAATTGAAACATCGGAAAATTGGGAAATCGAAAAATTGAAAACCGTAAAATTGAAAAATTGAGAAATTGAAAAATGTATGAAAAAGTGAAAAATCCCAAAAAATTGAACTGAAAAAGAATTGAAGAACTGGAAAATTGGACCAGTCGAAAGTCAAAAAATGGAAAAATCAAAACATCGGTTAATTGAAAAATCGAAAAATTGAGAATTTAGAAAAGTCAAAAATTGAAAAATCGAAATATTTAAAAATCGTAAAATTGAAGAGAAAAATTGAATAACAAATAATCTGGAAAATCCCGAAACTGAAATTTCGAAAAATTGAAAAATGAAAAAAACTGAAGAATGGAAAAACTGAAAAATTTCAAATCTGAAACATCCAAAAACCGAGAAATTAAAAGATTGAAAATTGAAAACAGTCGAAAGTCAGGAAATGGGAATTTCTTAATTGAAAAATCGAAAAATTGAGAATTTAGAAAATTCAAAATTTGAAAAATCGAAATTTTTAAAAATCGTAAAATTGTAGAGAAAAATTGAATAACAAATAATTGAGAAATCCCTAAACTGAAATTTCTAAAAATTGAAAAATGAAAGAAAAACTGAAGAATGGAAAAACTGAAACATCTCAAAACTGAAATTAAAAATTGAGAAATTGAGAAATCAAAGAGTCAAAAAAGTGAAGTCGAAAAATCAAAACTTTAAAAAACTAAGAAATCAAAAACGTAAAAAATTTAAAATTCGAAGAATTGAAGAAATGAAAAATCGAAAAACTGAGTTTATAAAAGTCAATTTTGAAAAATTGCAAAGACCAAATATTTAAAAATCGTAAAACTGAAGAAGAGAAAAATTAGAAAAACGTAAAATTGAAACATCGGAAAATTGAAAATCGTAAAATTGAAAAATGGAAGAAAAACTGAAAAATTCCCACAACCGAAATATCCAAAAACTGAGAGATTAAAAAATTCAAAAGAAATCGAAAAATCAAAAGTGAAGTCGAAAAATTAAAAAATTGAAGAACTGGAAAATCAAAACATCGATGAATTGAAAATTCGAAAATTTGAGAATTTAGAAAAGTCAAAAATTGAAAAAAAGAAATATTTAAAAATCGTAAAATTGTAGAGAAAAATTGAATAATAAATAATCTGAAAAATTCCAAAAGTGAAATTTCGAAAAATTGAAAAATGAAAGAAAAACTGAAGAATGGAAAAACTGAAAAATTTCAAAATTGAAATATCTATAAATTGAGAAATTGAGAAATAAAAGAGTCAAAAAGTGAAGTCGAAATATCACAACCTTAAAAAACTGAAAAATTGAAAACCTGAAAAATTTAAAATTTGAAAAATTGAAGAACTGGAAAATCGAAAAACTGAGTTTATAAAAGTCAAATTTGAAAAATTGCAGAGACCAAATATTTAAAAATCATAAAAATGAAGAGGAAAAAAATTAGAAAAACGTAAAATTGAAATATCGGAAAATTGAAAATCGTAAAATTGAAAAATGGAAGAAAAACTGAAAAATCCCAACAACCGAAATATCCAAAAACTGAGAAATTGAAAAATTCGAAACATTGAGAAATCTAAAAATCAAAAGAGAAGTCGAAAAATTGAAGAATTGAAGAACTGGAAAATCAAAACATGGATTAATTGAAAAATCGAAAAATTGAGAATTTAGAAAAGTCAAAAATTGAAAAATCGAAATATTTAAAACTCGTAAAATTGTAGAGAAAAATTAAATAATAAATAATCTGAAAAATCCCTAAACTGAAATTTCGAAAAATTGAAAAATGAAAGAAAAACTGAAGAATGGAAAAACTGAAAAATCTCAAAACTGAAATATCCATAAATTTAGAAATTGAGAAATCAAAGATTCAAA